TGCTAGACAGGCCTGATAAAGTTTTTTTCCCCTGACCCTGAGTCATTCGACCAGGTTAAGAGAGAATTTTCATGTTGGTTTTCACTGGGAAATAAATTTCCAATTTAATGCAAAATTTCAGCTTTTTAAAAATGGTTTCATTTCTAATGTATTGCAAGGCTGCATGTTGCCCTCACATAAAAGACTTGTATAGTTGGTTTTATTGTGTATAGTTTACCACAGATGATGACAACAGCCTTAAAACTAACAGTGAAGATATTGAACTGGTGGATAGTTTTCTCTTGATATGCTCATTTATATTCCATTTTCTTTGTAACCAATGAATTTTCACTGCTTTGTTTCAGGATAGCATACAGGAAAATAGACAGGAAGTTAGGGAATATGATCTTTTCTCCTTTGAATCCACAAGTAACTCAGTGTTGTTGATTTTGTTTTAAAGATTTATGTGGTATCATTCACCTGACATTTCTGCATAGTATGGGAGGTGGGGAGGAAGGAAATATAATGCATTCAAATATTTTCATTCATTGCCTCTTTGTTAACTCCAGGGTAGAACTGAATGGTGTATTGGTTCAAATAACATGAATGCCTGGGAGTTATTCCCAAATTTACTCATTCAATATATTCCTCCTGTATGCTCAAGCAATGCTTCTTGTGTTCTCATTTCTGAATTACAACTCAGACATGAAACAAGACTTGCTATTTGCTTGATTCTCTTTGAAAGAATCAATAGTATCCCTCAAAATAATTTTAGATGGATCAAAGAGCAGTAATTTCATAAGAAAATAGTATGGAGGAAAATGGGATTCTGTTAGGTTTTGAACCAGTTTTGGTTGATTGAGTAATCTTCCAAGCAGTTTGTGATGAACAAGTAAGAATTATTCAAGTGTAATTTTGTATGTGTGATGAACCTCATTAGACTTTTACAATAGCTTAGTTGAATAGCATCTTCTTGCTGCATTATTTTATTTTTTCCAAAACAAATTAAACCATATTTTTCTTTCTTGGACAGTGAAAATTTGTACATTTCAGTTGTCAGGCATTTTTTTTAAAAAAAATAAGTATTTTAAGAAAGATAATGAATACAACTATATTTGGTTGTTAAATAATTCACATCATTTTAAAAAATCTTTTGTTAACAGAATAGAATAGAAATAAGTGACTGTTATTTACAAAAAGTGAGTATATAATTTTTGTGAGGGAAGAGACTTCTGCATTTTAGTTCATGTACTATTTAAATCTGACATCCATTCTGACAGAGAAAATAATATCCTTTACAATAAATAGAAAAATGTATTCAGATTGTTCCGTTAAAAAAGTTTTATGGGTTTCTTTTTTTTTTCTTTTTTTGACTAATTTGGCATTAAGCAGTCTATTGCTGATCATATTTTTTATTTCTCTGAGGTTTAAAAGTACATAGATCAGTGCTTCCTGTCTTAGGAAATGAGTTTGATTTTACAACATACAATATAGTGACACCATTTCTGTTTCAATTTTTGTTTTCCTCTTGTTAATCAGTGACAAGTATTTGAAAAGCTGCTGCTACGGCTAGATACTTATCTGAAACAGCAAATACTTTGTCTTTGCTTTATGAAATGGAAACTGACATTATTTTGAGCTATCTCATTAATAGATAACAGCCATACCATATTTTCAAACACTCTGTGTTAATATTTGATTAATTATTATAAAGTATTACAAAAGCAAATGAGGATAGCTAAGGATACATTTGGAGAGATTTCAGTTGACGTAAACTGCTGGTGAATTTGATAAAGTAGCAAGATATGAAAACAAGCATTTATGTGTTTCTGGAGCATAGATTTCAACTTCATATTAATGTCATGGATTAGTGATATCTAAAAGTATATCTTTGAACAAATTTCTGACTAAGAATATCTGCCCAATTTTTTTTGGTTGTGGTTATAAATAATTGTATTTAGTGTTACACATTTATTTTTCCCAAGTGAAACAATGATTTCTACCTCCATTAGCCTGAACAAAATCCAGTTTTATCAATCTTCCTCAGGTGTCTCTAACTTGATTAAATTAACAGATAATATACCTAGTGACTCATATTCTAACTCATAGACATAACTATTATCCTTAGCTTCATAGTTCACTTCTCTATATTTTAAAAGAATTATTTAATTTAAAATCTATATAGAAAAATGACTTGCTATGAAGCAAACATTACTCTCTTTATTTTCAGAGAACTTCTGAATCCAACACAGAATTTAAAAAATAAAATTAGTGATTCTGTGTAAAGCTTGAGGTAACCGTGATCAATAAGCGGTTTCACTAGTTTGCCTTCACAAAAATAGGTAGAAGTAGTTCTTGACTTTCAACCATCACAGAACTCAAAATTTCTGTTGCTAGGTGAGACAATTGTTAAATGAATTTTCCCCATTTGTCCCCATGACTTTTCTTGCCACGCTTGTTAAGTGAATCACTGCAGTTGTTAAGTTAATAACAGGGTTGTTAAGTGAATCTGGCTTCCCTGTTGACTTTGCTTGTCATAAAGTCATAAAAAGTGGTCACATGACCCTGGGACACTGTAACCATTATAAATACAACCCAGTTGCCAAGAATCCAAATTTTGATCATGTAATCATGGGATGCTGCAACAGTCATAAGTGTGAAAAATAGTCATTAGTCACTTTTTTCAGTGCTCTTATAACTTTGAACAGTTCACTAAACAAAAAGTTGTAAGTTTATTTGTTTATTTATTTATTTTATTTGTCAAGCGATTATAAGATAACAGGTATAAGTATAAACATAGTTATGAATACATGAAATGGATACATATAAGAAAAATTAAAAGAATCAATAGGACAGGGACAGTAGGCACATTGGTGTGGTGAGGTCAATAGTAGACAGTCTAAGGTTAAAGTTTTTGGGGTTTGGGGAAGAAACCACAGAGTCAGGTAGAGTATTCCAGACACTGACCACTCTGTTGCTGAAGTCGTATTTCCTGCAATCAAATTTGGTGTGATTAACCTTGAGTTTGTATCTATTGTGTGCTCTTGTATTGTTATGGTTGAAGCTGAAGTATTCATTAACAGGTAGGACATTGCAATATATAATATTATGTACTATACTTAGCTTGGATCGAAGGCAGCGTAGTTCTAAATTTTCTAGGTGTAGAATTTCAAGTCTGGTGGCATAAGGTATTCTGCAACAAGTAGAGGAGTGGAGAACTCTTCTTGTGAAATATTTCTGGACTTTCTCAACTGTATTAATATCAGATACGTAATGCAGGTTCCAGACTGATGAGCTGTATTCAAGTATTGGTCTAGTAAATGTTTTGTATGCTCTAGTTAGTAGTGTGATATTAGCAGAGAAAAAGCTACGCAGGATTAGGTTAACAACTCTTAATGTCTTTTTGACTATGTAGTTACAGTGTGATGAAACCCAATCAAGCAGCCATTTTATGAATGACCTTCTTTCAGCCATTTTGTAACTCAAAATTATAATTGGCTCTTATTTCTTCAGTTGAGTAAATGTAATATTACTAGTAGCTAAAAATCCAAAAGACATAAATTACATTCAAGCTGCTTTGAATCCAGAATTTGTTTTGTTTTATTAAATGCAGACACCAAGTTGACAGTTGTTTCCTGCAGATCCTAAGATTTCTTCATTCATGCAACCTGAATTAGATGAGAAAGCTGATTTGTTGCTTATTGAATATTATCATTATTTGGGCATTAGACATACATGGCAATTTATTGCAAATTACTTATATAGTACATCTCTGGTAGGTCCTGATCTATCCTAAGTTCATTCTTTGTCATCTCAAGTATATCTTGTCCATCATTTCCTTTCCATGGTCATAAATATTGTTGCACTGAAAAAGCCCCTTATCACTAAGCTAGTAATTTGCTTGCAATGGAAGGAGGAGATGGTAATCCTTTCTGTCCTGATTAAAATTCTGGCAACATTATATGATGGTCATAGGGTGATTTTTGGTGCACTTGAGATTGCTGAAGATTCTCTGAAGGTCGTTCCCCCATCTGACCCAGTTTGTCCCCCACTTGCAGGTTATAATTAATATTTTTTGAAAAACACTCAACCTTTCCTTATTTTCCCCTAACAATTTTTAGCCATATAACAACTCAAAAAAAAAAAAAAGAATGAAGAGCTTTCAAGAACTCCCCCAGGTTGACCAGATCTTGCCTAGGATTATGTCACAAGTTCATGTGGGACTCATACCTACCTAAAAAAAAATGCTCATGCCCCAGGTTCTCCTGGTATCTTTGCCGTAGCATAAGGTCTGGATTCACCATCATCCCTTAAAACAAGACTTTGCTCCTTTGGGATATGTAATTGCATACACACACACACACATACACACACACATACACACACACACACCTTTAATCAAACTGCTCACAACTGAGCATCTACTTGTATTCTTTGCAACTGATATTGTAACTTACAACTAAGGTGACTATACAGTTTTCAAGACTAATAGTCATTAGTAGTATTATCTTCCACAAATTTTGTTAGTAGAATCTCAGAACTAAATTCAAACTGGGCTATACTATGAAAAAAATGAGTGTTTTTTGTATGTGTTTCCTAATATAATATTTTATTATACACATTTCCTCGTAATAATCATTTGTTTTTGAAAATGCTACTTGCAGTATGATATTGAGTTGCAGAGTTTGCAAAAGCATGGCACAAACAAATTTATTGTAATTCTGCAAAGTGTGAATTAGTTAGATTTCAGCTAAAATGTCAGCTAAATTACATTTCTGTATTTTCAACTATATTAAATTTCTTAGCTTAGTACAAGCCACGAGATAATGATAATGATAAGCAGTTCTTGTTCAATGATAGGGTCTTTTAAAAAAAACAAACATTTCTGATTTTCCAGTCTGGAAGATTCGTAGTTTTGGTTCATTAGATAATTATTTTCTGCTGGTGAATGTTCCACCATATGAATATATTCTTTTTCTTTACCCTCCCCGCTGAGAATAATAATTGTTTCCTCTTTACAGACAAATCCTCGCAGCAGCAAAAAGGGCTGATCAAGTTGGCCATTTTCTGTGGGTGGCTTCAGACACTTGGGGCTCCAAAATGACTCCAGTAATTCAACAAGAAGATGCTGCCGAGGGAGCAATCACCATCCTGCCTAAGCGGGCAACCATTGAAGGTAAGCCCTACCTATTCTGTTGACCTCCATGTATAATGTCTTTCTTTTTCTTACTGATGCTTTACATAAAGGCAACTTGTGCAAACTGAATCTGTACAAAGATATTTTTTTATACATCACAATCTTCAGAAAACTAATATCAATGCAACCTGGCTGGTGATAAGCTGCCTCCATTCCAGATTCTGCTATTTCTACAAGTAGGGTTTTTTAAAAGCATTGTTTAAAAAAAAAGGCTTGAGAGGTTTGCAGTTGATGCTATGAATCACTTCTGATGGCTAGAAATAGACAGCACAGTAGATATTTGAAGCATAGATGCTGTGCTGGGCAATGCTATAGTTATATTTCACATAAGACACTAGTAAAGTTTGGAGTGCTGATGTAGACTCTTGATGAATGCAGAGTCATATATATTGCAACTCACAGCAGATTCTCTTGCAGTATCCAGGATTCTGCATGCAGATGTCTGTTTGTCAGGAGTTTTCCATTGTGTTGTTGGGTGCATCCCAAATCTGGTATGAAAGTAGTCATCTGGAATAGTTGGACTTCAACTCCTCTTGTATTTTCTCTGTTCTCTGTTTGTTTCTCTGCTACCCATCTCCCTTATAGGGTGCCTCTTTTGTTTTCAAGTACATGATTCTGTAGGACTACAGCTCCTATCTCAACACCATCTTTGCTGCTTCATTGGTGGTGGTAGAGATGGGGGTAAGGATGCTTCTGAAAACAGTATATGCTTCCAGCTTGTCCATTTGTCTAGCTAAAGTGAACAGGCATCTTTATTAGGCAGCAGCAATATGGGAAGATGTTGGAGATAATAACAGTAGCAGTGGAATCATATTGGTTAGGAGGAGACAATGATAAATCATTTCTGTACTTTACCAAAAATGACAGGAGTAGATAATCTAAAGTGATTAATGACTTAATGCTTGATGATGAATCCCTCAGGTCAAATGATACTCAATATGTTACTAAAGAACAACTGTGGAACTTTCACAGTACTAACCATGTTTATGATAGAGCTAGATTAAAGACTTTGGAAATCTAAATACTGCTATTGCCATGCAGGATGAGAAGATGCAAAAACAAAAATATAGGGGGAACATGTAACACAGGAAGCATGTGCATGGGAAAGGTCAATAAAATGAAAGATGAAATGAACTGGCTACACATTGACATTTTAGGCATCAGCGAATTGAAATAGAGTGAAGTTGGACCCTTTCAGTCAGAAGATCATACTATTCGCTACAGAGGACATAAAAAAACAAAACAAAAAAGAAGGATGGCTTTGCTTTCATAGGAAAGATATAGCAAAGATGGCATTAGAGTACAATGTAGTCAATGACCGAATAATATCAATTAGCCTTTGCGGACAACCCTTTAATATGATGGTTATCCAAGCTTATGCTCCAACCACTGATCCAGAAGTACAGCAGCTTGATGATTTTTGTGCTCAAGTCCAATTTTGAAAGGTACAGAATGTGCAAGCAAGATATGTTCTTTGTGTATGAAAATTGAAATGCCAAAGTTCAAAATAGTAATGGTGAAAATGAAATTGAATTGTGAGGCCCAAGAAAAAGAAATGAAACATGATTATGACTTACCAGTTTCTGCCTATCCAAGGACTTCTTTCTAACTAATACAAACTTTAAGCAACTGAAGCATGCCTACATATAGTGGACATCACTAAAGAGATAACACAGAAATATAGTTGTCTATATTACTGATACAAACATATGAAAGCACTCAATTAAAATGCTAACATATCCAAGGGAAACTATGGAACAGATTATGAATTGTTCATGTGCAAATTCCAAGGTTAAAAAATATGACCATTCCATGATGAGCATATATCCATCATTTTTAAGTGGAAAATAAGAATCACTTTGAAGTCCTGAACATCACTGAATAGAGACGCAGAGGAATTTTGGAGTGATGTCAAAAAGTTCTTAAAGATGAATGCAAAAAGATACTGCCAGAGAACAAAGAACAGAAGAGAGCAAACTGGATGTAAGAACAGATGATGAAAATTGCACAGAAGAACAAGCCCAAACCAGGAAAGACAAACATCCCAAGAAGGAATTTCATAAAGAATTTCACAAAGCTGATAGATCAGAGAAGAAGCAGTATATTGCAGTGATATCTGTAAATACATTATAGGTGGAAAAAGACATGGAAAAACAAAGTTTTCCAAAAGTTTTTGAACTCAGAAGGCTGTTCCAGCCTCAAACTGATGCTAAAGGATATATAATATTGGATTCAAAGAAGATCAAAAATGGAAGGACTATATTGACATTCTGTACAATAGGTATGTCAATATCCAAGTTACTTTGGAAGATATTCTCTATTTATAAGAACATGTACTTCTTGAAGATGAATAGAACATCACTCTGGTTATTACCTGGCCAGAAAGTTACAGGAACTAATGTACTGTATTATTTATAGAATAATATGTAAAGCAAGAAACAGAAGGGTGATCAGAAAGATTCTAACAATTCCAGCAAATCTGGAGAATGGAGAATAACACAGTATTCAACAGATTGGAAGAGGTCAACCTACATTCCAATATCAAAGAAAGAAGACTTAAACTATGCAGACTGTTGTACAAAATCCTTAATTTCACATGCTGGAAAAATAACGTTTAGGATCATCCATTAGGGATTAGAGCCCTGCACAGAAAGAAAAATGCCAGATGTTCAAGCTGATTTTAGAAAAGGCCAAGGAACAAGGGTCATTAATCATGATGCATTATAGGTAATCGAAAAAGCCAAAGAATACAAAAACAGAAGTCAAATACTTCATTTATTAAAGAAACGCATTTAATTGCGTTAACCATGTAAAGATAAGGAATGTTATGGTGGTAAAAGTTATCCCTCCCATACAAATTGATATTGCTATTATAATACAAAGAAGCACAATCTGTTCCTCCAGTTGTTGTTGCATAAAATATAAAAGTTAATTTAGAACATAAAAAGAAGTGCAAGATCCATTTCACAGACAAAAGCCAGAAAAAGCACCAGGGCTAGACAAGATAACTCCTTCTTGCTTAAAAGTCTATGCTAACCAATTGGCCCCCATCTTCACCCAAATCTTCAATAAATCACTAGAGATGTACTACGTTCCTTCTTGCTTCAAATGCTCTACTATCATCCCATGCCAAAAAAGCCCTCCATCAAGGAACTGAATGATTACAGACCAGTTGCTCTAACATCTGTAGTTATGAAAATTTTTGAAAGGCTAGCGCTGTCCCACCTGAAAACCATCATGGATCCACTGTTGGATCCCATGCAGTTTGCATCAGAGCAAATAGATCAACAGATGATGCTATTAATATGGCTCTGCACTACATCCTACAACACCTTGAATCTCCACATACCTATGCAAGGGTCCTCTTTGTAGACTTCAATTCAGTATTCAATACCATCATTCCAGACATTCTTCTAACTAAATTAAACCAGCTAGCAGTACCTGAGCACACTTGTAAGTTGATCATAACTTCCTAACAAACAGGAAGCAGCAGGTGAAGCTAGGCAGAATCACATCTGATACCTGTACAATTAGCACATGCCCCCCCCCACCCAAGACAGTGTGCTTTCTCCACTTTTCTTCTCCCTATATACCAATGACTGCATCTCAAATAATCCATCTGTTAAAATACTGAACTTTGTAGATGACACAACAGTGATTGGTCTCATTCAAGACAATGATGAATCCGCATACAGGCAGGAGGTTGTACAACTTGCCTCATGGTGTAACCGAAACAATCTGGAACTGAACGCACTCAAAACTGTAGAAATTGTGGTAGACTTTAGAAGAAACCCTCCCATACTATCACCTCTTATAATACAAGACAACACAGTATCAACAGTATCAACATGACCTAAAATGGACACCTAACATCAAAAACATCATCAAAAAAGCACAACAAAGAATGTTCTTTCTGCGCCAACTCAGAAAGCTCAAACTGCGCAAGAAGCTGCTGATACAGTTCTACAGAGGAATTATTACGTCTGTCATCTGCACCTCTACAACTGTCTGGTTTGGTTCTACAACTCAACAGGACAGACACAGACTTCAGAGGATAATAAGGACTGCAGAAAAAAACAATTACTACCAACCTGCCTTCAATTGAGGACCTGTATACTGCACGAGTCAAAAAGAGGGTTGTGAAAATATTTACAGATCCCTCACATCCCAGACATAAACTGTTTCAACTCCTTCCCTCAAAACAACGCTATAGAGCACTGCACACCAGAACAACTAGACACAAGAACAGTTTTTTTACCAAAAGCCATCACTCTGCTAAACAAATACTTCCCTCAGCACTGTCCAACTATTTACAAAGTCTGCACTACTATTACTATTAATCTTCTCATCACTCCTTATCACCCATCCCCTCCCACTTGTGACTGTATGACTGTAACTTTGTCGCTTGTATCCTTACAATTTATATTGACTGTTTCCTAGTATGATTTGATTGCTTATTATACCCTATCGCTATTATTAAGTGTTGTACCTTATGATTATTGACTCTTGACGAATGTATCTTTTCTTTTATGTACACTGAGAGCATTTGCACCAAGACAAATTCCTTGTGTGTTCAATCACACTTGGCCAATAAAGAATTCTATTCTAAATTGTTGTTGCCATGTATTTAATTTTTTGTGCTTTTGTTCAGGTTTACAGTATGCATAATGCTGGTGCACAATGCATTTTTTTCTGTTCTACTCAATATAAATGCTGTAACAATACAGGGCAACCTTTCCACCATCTTGCACATGTAAAAGAAATGCTAGATTTATTGGTAAAAGATACCTCCCCTGTATTCACTACCAAACCTATGAGATTCTGCCCCCCCCCCGCCCAATACATGTGAATTGCTCAAATAGGCCCTTGTAATAAAATATTCATAGCATGCTTGATTAACCCTAAGTGGCAACAGAAGTAAGAATCATGCATGGACCATGGTATCATAGAGTCATAGGACTAGAAAGAACCTTGGTGTC